AACAAAGGCAGCTTCTGTACGAGCTGAGCCAGCAGGACGGAGGGAGGGAGGGAGGGAGGGGGGGAGGGGGAGGAGGAGAGGAGGTAGATCAAAGGAGGAGGACAAGGACGATGGGTGGAGTGAGCGGGACAGCCAATGAGAAGTGGACGCTAGGTGAAAACACTAGGAGGAAAAACAGGGATGAATGTGAAAGTAAAAAGGACGGAGACAAGGAGACAAGGAGAGATAAAAACAGAGGCAGGACACACAGGTAGGAAAGGAGACAAGGAGACAAGGAGAGATACCTGGTACCTGCTGGTACATGGTACAGGACTCATGAATAGGTCCACAGAAAAAGTCTCTCATCAATAACAGCTGTGAATTCACAGGACATACAGCAGGAACCCAACAGTTCCCGCCGCATGTCCTGTGTTGGACTTCACAGGACATACAGCAGGAACCAAACAGTTCCTGCCGTATGTCCTGTGTTGGACTTCACAGGACATACAGCAGGAACCCAACAGTTCCCTGCTGTATGTCCTGTGTTGGACTTCACAGGACATACGGCAGGAACCCAACAGTTCCTGCCGTATGTCCTGAGTTGGACTTCACAGGAGAGACAGAAGGAACCCAACAGTTCCCTGCCGTATGTCCTGTGTTGGACTTCACAGGACATACGGCAGGAACCCAACAGTTCCTGCCGTATGTCCTGTGTTGGACTTCACAGGACATACAGCAGGAACCCAACAGTTCCTGCCGTATGTCCTGAGTTGGACTTCACAGGAGAGACAGAAGGAACCCAACAGTTCCCTGCCGTATGTCCTGTGTTGGACTTCACAGAGCAGATCAACAGAGACTTCATTAGTCATGGTTCACCAAGACCGAGGGACAGGGACAGTCACAATGTCCCCGGTTAGAACTGTTCCTGTTGTCATTTATTTAAACAGGTCAGTGTGTGTGTGTGTGTGTGTGTGTGTGTGTGTGTCTCAGTACTTGAAGAAACAGTATTTGGAGTACTTCACTCTGATGAAGTCATGGTTGGAAACACAGTACAACCATATACAGGGTTCCACCACCACACTGGGAACATCGGTTCCACCGCCACACTGTGAACATCGGTTCCACCGCCACACTGTGAACATCGGTTCCACCGCCACACTGAGAACACC